AAGCCGGTACTAGCTCACTGAACAGCTTTTTGTGTGTCGTGATACTTCTAAGCCTGTTACAGGAACGTACTGCTGATACAGCCATAGGTGATTACAGCATACAATAACAAGCAGATGTGGAGAAGCCAAAACTGGTAATTCAATCGGACACGGTACAGCAGCCGGATAATGAAGACAGGAATAAGAATGCCAATGCAAGGAATGTCAGGAGGTACTGAAGGCAAACAGAAAAATCAACGCCTTTCAGGACTGAGTAAAGAAAATGCTAGCATTAAATGAACGTTTTGGCTCAGATCAAAATATTCTGGTTCTAGTAAGGATCTGCATTGAATGCTGGAGGGTCAAGTGTGGTATAGTGGTTGGACTTTAATATCAGACTAGACAGGAGAAAACCCAAGTTCAAACGACTACTCAGCCATTAAGCTCACTGGGTGATCTTGGGCCAATGCCCTTAATTTAACTTACCTCACAGGGTCATCATGAAGATAAAATATAGAACAGTGGCGAGAATCATGTATACTACCCCAGGTTCCTTGGAGGAAGGGCAGACGAAACATGCAATATGTAATTTAAATCAATACACAAAGTTCTTGGAGAAATCTATTCAATAAATCATAGCCCTCCCGTTCAACAGCTACCAGATCTTTCTCCTGAGACATTGTAAAAGGGAGCTTAAAAGCACTGTATCTGCCTAATAAGAAAAGGCAATGAGTTATATAAGCTTTTAAGTGGATTTTTTTTTTCCAGAAATCAAAATCATTTGTTAACTCTTTAGTAGAAAATGCTTTTCTGGGCCAGGTTGATGCTGGAGGAGTGTACAGGATTAGCTCACCCAGTCCAGTCCAGGGATGAGAGGGAATCCTGTACTTTTCAGTACATTAAACAACAAACCACGAGATGGTGTATACCCTCTCTGGTTTCCAGACAATTTGCCACCAGAACCTCTTTTCACTAGTCCCTGCTTCTCCTAAGGGAAGAGATTCCAAACCCTTAGTTGGCATCTGGGACAGAACACCTTAGCAACTCAATCCAGAGATGCAAACTCTTACCAAGGTAGCATGTGTGGTGAGGGTTAGCTACAAGATTTAGCCTTGGAGTTCAGGTACAACATCAGAGACAAATTAGCAATAAGAAGGATCTTTATTCAGTACAGATCTTAGCATAGACTACCAGAGATTACAAAAATAACAAAGTCTAGGGCTGTTTGCCTTAACTAAACATTAATGATTCATAGTTACCCAGTCAGGAGTATTCATCAGTCCAAGATAGTCCAAGGGATTTTGAAGGGAAATCCCATCTTTGTACAAGCAGGTGGTCCAATTCACAAAACAACTCTTTGTTTTCCAAGAGACAGCATTTCATGTGCAATAAAACAGGCAACAAGAGTCTCAGAGCTAAGAGAACAAGAGACTCGATAACAAGAAGAGGAGAAGAGACTCACTCCCATAGGGATCAAACAATTATACCCCAATTCCAGTCACAAATTAGATGTGGCCATCGGCCAATTGCGAGTGGACATGGGTGTGCCCAATTGTTGGTTGCCATGGTTGCTGACATCAGGTTTGTGGGATTGGCTGGAGGGTTGGAGACCCTGCCTGCAGTCAGCTGACCCAAACTCCAGATACTTCATTGTGTACGTGACTGGTCGCAAGTGGGCTAGAAAGTGTAGCCATGAGGTCTGGCTTTTGGCATGAAAGTGTGAAAGAATGTGGGTTTATGGCATGGCTATTGAGGCCATTTGGCCTCACCATTTGGCTTGCAACAGGAAACAAGACACAGCATGTTATCAAAAGACATCGTAGGAGAAGGCAGGAGACTTTTAGAAATCAATATTTCTATACAAGGAGGAAAGCCCATCTGAGGCTTTCTTAATTTTGAGTAGTATTAGGACTCCAGGGGATAAATACAAAGATGTGGGGATTTGTAACATAAACAGTCAACTTGGGATTTTCTATTATCAGATTTAGAGTTATCAACTGATATTTTTCTCGCTTTGGCAGTTTAATTTTAAATATTAATTCAGAGGAATACAAGAAGTCAACATTGAGACCCTAGTCCTCCATAAATTTGTATAAAGTTTTAAACCCACATAAGTTAGTGGCATCAGCACATGCATAACTCTTGATGCAAAGCAGGCTTTTGTTACTCAGAGACAAACTCAACAAAATCCGAGTCCAGTGGCACCTTTAAGGCCAACAGTTTTATTTAGAACATAAGAGAAGCCATGATGGATCAGGCCAATGGCCCATCCAGTGCAACAAACTGTGTCACACAGTGGCCAAAACCCAGGTGCCATCAGGAGGTGCCATCAGGAGGTCCATCAGTGGGGCCAGAACTCCAGAAGCCTTCCCACTGTTGCCTCCCCAAGCACCAAGAATACAGAGTATCACTGCCCCAGTGTTTCATCTATACCTTACAGCTAATAGCCACTGATGGACCTCTGCTCCATGTTTAGCTAAGCCCCTCTTGAAGCTGTCCATGCTTGCAGCTGCCACCACTTCCTGTGGCAGGGAATTCCACATCAATCAGTCTTTGGGTGAAGTACTTCCTTTTATCTGTTCTGTGCTTGCTGATCATTAATTTCATTGAGTGCCCATGAGTTCTTGTATTGTGAGAAAAGGAGAAATGTACTTCTTTCTCTACCTTTCCCTATCCCATACATAATTTTGCAAACCTCTATCATGACACCCCTCAGTCGTCGGTTATCCAAGCTAAAGAGCCCTAACCTCTTTAACCTTTCTTAATAAGGAAAGTGTTCCATCCCCTTAATCATTTTAGTTGCCCTTTTCTGCACTTTTTCCAGTGCTATATCTTTTTTGAGGTGCAGTGACCAGAAATGTACACAGTATTCCAAAAGAGGCCACACTATTGTTTTGTACAAGGGCATTATGATACTGGCTGATTTGTTTTCAATTCCTAATAATCTCTAGCATAGCATTTGCCTTTTTTATTGCCATCCCATACTGAGTCGACATTTTCAATGAGTTATCTGCCATGACACCAAGATCTCTCTGCTGGTCAGTCTCCACCAGTTTGGACCGCATCAATGTGCATTTATAGTTAGGATTTTAGGCTCCAATGTGCATTACTTTGCACTTGCCCACACTGAACCTCATTTGCCAAGTTGATGCTGCTGGGATCTACAAGTTCTCTGTAGTCATGAAAGAATTTACTGTTTGTTTATGCATGCTGATGTCTTAGCTACTTTAACTTTAGAGACCCTATGACCAAGTCTGCATGTCATTGCCACCAGAGCAAGGTGACAAAATGCATAATTAGTTAGCATTGGGATTCTCTGATTGGATAATCAATACTTTGGGGGTGGACTAGAGAGTAAGAATTGGGTTTCAGTTTTATTGCTCTTTGTCCTTCTCTAGCTTGTCCTCACAGGAGGTTTAGAAGTCTCTAACAAAAGACGTAGGATAGAGCAGCTAGACAGGATGATTTTCCTGTATTATTTTGTTAATTTCAACTCCCAGTTTACCCTCCCTCATTAGTAAAGTACTTTTTAAAAAACTAATACAAGTGTTCCGCTGTGTTTATTAACTCTGTATGTACACAGACATCCCTAACAGATGCCCACTTGCCCAGCCTCAACAGATCCCTCTGGAACACCTCACAATCCTCCCTGGTTCTCACCACCCTGAACAACTTAGTGTCATCCACAGACTTAGCCACTTCACTTACTCCCAACTCAAAATCAATATTCTGGGTATAAGCTTTCATATGCATGCAGAATTCTTTGTGTGCACATGAAAGCTTATACTCAGAACAAAACTTAAAGGTGCCACTGGACTCAAACTTTATTCTGCTAGTTCAGTACAACACGGCTATCCACCTGAATCTACCAGGGAGAACTTGTTACAGGAATGGGAGATTGACCTACTTAGTACTTCACAGAATAATGGCACTGCTTCAGTTAACTCCTTCCAAGACGTCCCCAACACAATTAAAAACTGAAATTTTCAATCTGCTACACTGCCATGTGCCTCTTTCAATCTTTTAGAAGTCTCAAACATCACACAGCCTCAGGAAGAAGAGCGAAACATCTTTGGCAGTGTGTCATGCAAAATAACTGTACGGATTCATTTCTGCTGTAAGTGTGCCAAAGTAAAGCAGGTACATAGCAGTCGTGAAGTGCTGAAAACTATGATGCCAAAGAGAATCTTAGACCATTTCCACAGGACTATGGAAGCACTCCTAAGCAGGTCTTCCTCAGAAGTAAGACCCAAGTTCTTCAAAGGGACTTAACTCCCAGAAAAGCGTGCTTAGGATTGCAGTCAATTAAATGGCCACACACATTGCCACTTGCACATCTTTCAAGTGAGCACAGAGCACATGATCCCATATATCCTTGTTAAAACAAGCCGATTGGTCTCCCCACACTTTACGCTGCAACTGTTTCCACATTTTAATATACCAAACACATACAATTCAATATTCAACTTAATATTATTACCACAATGTGTGTTGCTGACAAAGACACCACAGGAAGGGGTACCAGGCTCCTGCAGCTTTCCCAATAATACTAATGAAGGAATTACAGCAGGTATAACTTTATCTCCTACAAGATAACTCCGCAATCCTGCAGATGTGTTATGAATACAGGATCCCTACTTTCTGTATGTCACCTTAACCCAACTCCCCAACTACATTTCTGAGTCAAATGATTTTCTTTTTAGCCTAAACCTGTTTTTAGGTCAGCTCACGCCCCCAGATAACGTCCATCACTGTGTTCCATATATTAAGAACCACAGACACATAGAATTTTACATTCCCCCCCCCCCTTCAGTTCCTAACACTCTCTTCGTAATACATTCTGCTGATGCTGTACTGGCTAACTTCTCTTGTTGACCGACCTCACGCTGTGCTCTATGAACTGCAGCTGGTATCTCCTACCACAGTCCTGAATTTCTGCATTCTCATTTAGAAATACACTTTTGATACTGATTGCTATGATTCTTTATAGCTGTGCTCAATGGAGACATTAATACAAAAACAAGCTCGTTTTTATAAGATCGTTCTCTTTATATGTTCTTGTTAAAAACAGTGGTTGCAGTACAATAGTTTGACATACATTAACAAAATTCACCAAATTTACATGCACAGGCCAAAAAACATTACTAAAAGGGACTTGATACTGTGTTTTGAAAAATCAGAACTATCGCAGATGACGGCATTTGGCTGTTTTTTGCTCTGGTGCTCAACTTAACAAAGTGTAAACTAGGATGAGTGTTCTAGTCCATCTGTCAAGACAAGTAAAGTTGTTTTGTCCTAGCTACTTCTTGTACCTATATCCAGGCAATAAATAATAGGGTATCCTTGTATCAAATACAATATGTACTAGGGACGTTAAGACAATTCTGAAAAAGACATAAAGCAGATCTATAGCTGAGAAAGTTGATTCGGTACAAGTTGCAGTTCAAATAATTCTACACTCAGCACTTAATATGGCAATCTGTTGAAATTGGAAAACATAAATTCCTGGGTGAAGTGTGCATTTTTTTTCATCAACGGCAAAATGTGCTCCTGGAACACAAACACCGCTAAAGAAATATGGCTGGAGACAAAAAATGCTGAAAAGTTGTTTGAGGTGAAGTCTACAGTGCCTCCTACTTCTCTACCCCAGATCAAACCTTCCATTCACCACTTTAGACGTTCTGATTCTCAGATTCTTTGGGTCTACCAAGTACCTAATTTGACCCTGAAAAGGTATACTATCCCCAAGTATTACTAAATTGAGTTATATTCCGCTACAAGGTATTCTAATGAAGGGGCAGAGGGTGGGTGTTTTCCAGTTCACCTTATGGCCTGGGGCAGAAAATGTGCATAAACTGTTGGCATGGGCAGAAGATCAAGGAACCAGTGTGCATGATGGTTCCTGTTGGACTAAGATTTCAGACACCCAGGTTAAAATCCCTACTCTTGCCATGAAACTCACTAGGTTACCTTAGGCCAGCCACTGACCCTCAGCCTACCCTGTCTCAAAGGGTCGTTGTGAAGATACAATGGAGGGGAGAGACCCATGTATGCCACCCTGAGCTCCTTGGAGGGATGGTGGGGAGTAAAACGGTTTTATAATCCTTAAGGCACGTTACTTTGTCACCAAGCTATTTAGCTCTTGTAATATGCCTTTGATTTAGAACTGTGGGATTAAAATAATCGAAATTCAGCCCTGTTTGTTATACTTGTAAATAAATGTTGATACTGTCAACTCGAAAGTACGTTTGAAATACTCCACCTTGTTAAATAGATACTTTTGCTAGGTACGCATTGGGATGTCAGTTTTTTGAATGACCTCTTGAAACTGTAACAGCAGCATGATGTGTAGATCCTAGCAGATGGACACCTCCCATCTCTGTGCCATGGAAAGCTTCACCTGCTGGTCTCTACAGATGAAGAACAAGGCAACCCAGCTTTTCCCTTGGTCAGTTGGCAACATCGGGCACCAACAGCATTTGTACCACTTGTTGGAGTCACAGGTCAAGAACCAACATTCTGAAGCTGAACTACAGCATAATCAGAATTAACAGTCAATTTATTGTGCTTATTCAGAGGTCCCACCAGCTTCGGTGTGACCTGCTGTGCGTTGTACCTCGAGTGTGACAGCGCATAAGGCAACATGCTCATGACAGATGGGGAAGAGAAGCTACTGAACACCCATTCACAGGAACAAGAAAAACCCCATAGTTTTATACTGTAACGCCTGCCTATATGATGAAAAACCTAGGATACCAAACTAAAAGTGTCATACAACACATGAAAGGGGGATTTTGGCTTGGTGGTAGAGCATCTGCTTTGCACAAAGTTGATCCCAAGTTCAATTCCATGCATCTCCAGTTAAAAGGTACATGGTAGGTGATATGGAAGACCTTGACCCAAGACCCTGGAGATGTACTACCAATGTGAGAAGATAATGCTGACCTTGATCATCCATTGGTCTGACTCAGTGCAAGACAGCTTCATGTGTTCATGCAGCAGAAGGACCTACCTTTTCTTTACAGCCAGATTATTCAGTTCTAATTATGCTAATTGTCAGTTGTATGTTCAAAAAGGTGGATACTTGGTCAGTCATCAATCACAGCACAGCAGTTCTACAAAAGTTCCACATAAATGCTACATTGGATATTTATTGAACACTGCATATGACTGCAAACCAATAAGGAAAGAAAACCCTTATGTCCTAATAAATGAAAAGTAGACAAGTTTATTTGTGCGAATTACATTCTGCGAATGAGATCCACTCATCCAGATGTAGACAAATTTAGACAAAGATGCCCAAGACAAATCCAGACCAGCATTCTTCCCCAGTAAGTATCAGAAAGAACGTCACCGAGATCATCCTTTGAGTTCCTAAAGCAGGTTTGTTACTTTAAGCAGGAAACACCCAGGAGATGGAACCCGAAACCTATTTCACACCATCAATTCAAGACTCAATTTTATATCACTCTTATCTCCAACGCTTATACCATATCTAAATTAAGTGCCTAGCACATTATGCTGTACATGTTCCACGTTCACCTTTAAGTGAGCACAATACACAAACACAAGCTCTCTTCAGTAAACCAGAGGATCTTTATGCTGATGGAGGTCAGATTCCAAGTCAATATATAAAAAGATCTGGGCAATGCAAAAAGTGGACAATGCAACAACTGGGGAGTTTTTGCTGCCATATTTCCTTGTCCTTCCAAACAAGACAGGGAAAGATGGCGGAAAAAACTCCCCAATCAACACCAATTTCAAAAACCTTGTGGCAAATATAAATTGGGGGACAGAGCTCAGTACAGGAAAGACAAGTGAGCAAACTTTGCCAGGAGTTGCCAAAGAAGCAAGATATTTTGCATAGGTTCCCAAATCCAGCTACTGGACATACTCCAATTTCCCAATTGCCTTGCTTGTACGTTACTAAATGAGATCAACTTTTACAATTCCTTGATCCATGGTGCCATTATGATTCTTAGCTATGGAATTCTGAGAGAGGCGACACCTGAAATAGTGACTTATCTGTACGAAGCTGAAGAGTCTCCACAGTTAACTGTTCCAACAAATATCTTAGCCAAAAAAAAACCCTACTTCAAGCGATATTTTGTTTAGTTGGATCTTGTTTTGGGCACATGCTGCAAAGCCAGTGGCCCAGGGAAAATTAAGAGCATCAGGAGAGCGAAGGTATAAAGTCCTGGAGCCCGCTTTCACCCAACTTCATTGAAAGTCTGGAACGGAAAGTCTGATGAGCAGCGACGGCAACTTGTGTCATGCGTTTGACAATTGCTAAGGAAATATGCAAACCCCAAAACCATACAGTACGTGGATGGTAGGCCATTAGTGTAATAAGTACTTGCCAAAGATCGCAGCAGAGAGGGAAAATGGTCAACGTCAATGGCCAGTGTAGGTAGAACACAAATCAACAGTTTACATTTTTAAAAAAGGAAAAAACCCTTATAAAAAGATGTACTAAGACAAAGCCACACAATAAGTTAGTGTTTCCATGAAACAGCATGCGGTTTTGTTCCCCATTCTATACAACATTACTGTCTGCTAAACCCTAAATATTTTTGACAGCGTAACTGTATAACTGAGGTACATTATTTTACATTTTTATAAGCATTTGTAAAAAGGTTAATTTTTCTCTTCCAGTTTTTTTTCTTCGTCATCTTTAAAGAAGAACAATGGAAACATTCCTAAAAGGCAGCCAATAGCCACTCCAATGGCCTTACCCTGAAAAGAGAAGGGAAAAAGCAGTCATTGTTGAGTTGTTAATCATTAGCCAGGTCAGATGCTGAAGATCTAGTATGGGGATTTAGTATGGGGATCACCTGCCCACCTCCACACAAAAGAGGTGATGTGTGTATGAGACACTCAAATTTCCAAGGTCCTTCTACCACGTCACCATGGAAGTAATTTGCATTGTTGATAGCCTCTTTTCTCAAATAGAAGCAGAACATTCCTACAATCATGGAGGTAGCCAATACCTGTGAAAGTACAGGTAGCAACTGCAAAAGAGTGTTCAGAAATCCTCTGCGTGCCTTCCCTTGTCTCATCATCATCTAATCATGTTCTCCCTTCTGCCTCCTTGAAGCCACCTTCTTACCAAAATGCTGCAAAATGTGTAAATGTTCAAAGACCCACATTTACAAACTTGATTTCCTCTACAATTTGATTTGGGCGCAGAGGGTGAACTCAAAACTCATCTACAGATCCTACTAGGCCATTATAGCTGCTAAGCAAGACAGATGGTATTATGTGGCCATAAGCATGCAAGACAGAACTTAGTAGTGTGTTTGTTTGTTTCTTCCAGTTGAATTACAGATTAGAACATTGCTACCTTACACTGCACTTCACTAGCTGGCAGTCTGACACACCACAGCAACAAGCAGTAGAAATGACACTCACCAAGTGTGCACTAAGACGTGTTTGCCACATGTCAGCTTGTTTGGGCGTTAATTCAGGAATGGAGAGGCCCATTCTGGAGGCAATAGCTTCAACATAGCCTGCAAGGCTGAGATAAACACAACTACTTTGAGCAAAAAATCTGAATATGCATTAGATGCTGTGTGCTCATGTTCTTTTGGCTGTGAAACAAGCAGGAAATTAAATATGCTTCAGGAACAGAATGGAAAGGGAAACTGCTTAATTACAAGTTATTATGATACCTGGAACAAAAACCTCCCCAGGACTCAACAGGGATATTGGTTTCTTATCTCATTACATATGCTAACTCATTCAGTCCTCACATATGTATTCTCATACAGAGGGACTATACATCCTCTGTATTTTAGTGTATTTCTTTTTCAGAATAGTATATTGGAATGTTTGGCTGACATATAAGAGAAGAAGAGATTGGATTTATACCCCGCCCTTCACAACCCAAAGGTGTCTCAGAGCGGCTTACAAACTCCTTTCCCCGCCCCTCCCCACAAAAGACACCATGTGAGGTAGGTGGGGCTGAGAGAGCTCTTGACAGAAACTGCTCTTTTTCAAGAACAGCTCTTATCAGAACTACGGCTTGCCCAAGGTCATCCAGCCAGGTGCAAGTGGAGGAGTGGGGAATCAAACCCGGTTCTCCAGATTACAGTCCATGCACTTAACCACTACACCAAACTGGCTCTCTACTACACCCACCTCAGAAAAGAAAAAATGCTGTTAAGTGACCTCCACGTCTGAGAGGAGTGAACAGGGAGTCTCAGTCTCATTTTGACATATTCATTGCTTTACAACTGTTGACCTTATAGCCTTAGTTTATCTGCTTTTCTCTTTGCGTATCTTAAAACATCTTCATCATGTCACATGTTAATTTGCTGTTCAGCCCCTGTCTAAAAGTATGAACCTTACCTTCCTTCAAATGTATCTGAACAATTGTGCGTGCACACGAAAGCTCATACCTTGAATAAAACTTTGTTGGTCTTAAAAGTGCCACTGGACTTTAAATTTGTTCTAATGCTGCCCCCTGAAAGTCTACATTGCCTAGCCAGCACGATGATAAGAACAGAGTCAAAAAGCTATACTTAATGCTACCGCAGAAGGAGTTATTCAATACAGTTTGGAAGTATGCAAACATTCAGACTACTTAAGAAGCAGGGTCTCTTTCTGGTCCACCAACAGAAGTAATATAGGGACTTTACTACTATATACTGAAGAAAAGGATGTTTTTTGTAACTGAGTTCACTTTGACAGATCAGCCAATAGTTGTGTATTCCTGGACATGGATGAACAAATGTTACTGGAAAGTCAGCATAGCAGAGATACCCAAAGTTTCCATTTCTACTGCAGAGCCAGTTTACTTATCAAGGTGAATGTCTGAGCCACTGAATGTTAATGCTGCTTCCTTAAATGACCCCTTGGGCTAATTCAAGATTACCTGCCATTTGCTGGGGTTCCAGCAAATCCAGATGAGAAAATGTTAATCTAGATTAGAAACGGTGCAGCAGTGATTCTCTTCTAGTTTTTAGCACAGCAGCAACCCATACACAGCTCAGCACAGAGCATAACCCGAAAACATCTCCATTCCTGTGCTCTAGGTCACTAGGCCTCAACCCATGAGTTGGGAGGTACATTACAGAGCTGAAGCCCCTATAAGATCCATTTTGTGTTGCTTTTTGAAAGGTTCTGCTGTTAATATTTGTTACAGAATTTGTATGCCACCTCACCAAAACCCGCTGGATGTCACTCACAACGAAGGTGAATGGCACAGAAAAAACAAGGGCTCTGTCTCTCTTCACATCCTGCAGACAGGAGCAGATGGACAGCAAGGTGAAACCAGTCAGCAATAGAGATGATTCCCTTTCAGCACAGGCTGGCTCACAGACTGCTCTTCCTGTCGCACGACTGTTGCCTCTGACATCACTTGCCTGCAGCTCAGTGGGTCTCTGCTGCAGCACGGGACCTGGGTCCAGAAAGGCTGAAGGCCACTGCTCTAGAATACTCCGTTTCATTTGGAGTTGCTTTTGTTGGCACCTAACTATGCAACAGTGTAGTAATAACTGCCATGGACTCCAAATATGTTACAGTGTAGTAATAACTGCCATGGACTCCTCCAAATATGCTGGTTTGGACTAGCACAAGCCCCTAACAACTTTGCATTGGAAGTCCCAGATCTAAAGTGCTGTTCTAGGCATGCCCAATGGAAATGTTACGGGGTTTTTTTTGTAGCAGACTCCTGTACTACATCACAAATGTTGGAGTTTCAAAAGCAGTCTTAACACTGGGGGTTGGGAGAAAAGGTAAAGGTAAAGGTATCCCTTGCTCGAAAGCCAGTCGAATCCGACTCTAGGGTTGCGGTGCTCATCTCCATTTCAAAGCCGAAGAGCCAGCGCTGTCCGAAGACGTTTCCGTGGTCATGTGGCCGGCATGACTAAACACCGAGGCGCACGGAACGCTGTTACCTTCCCACTGAAGTGGTACCTATTTATCTACTTGCAATTTCTTGCTTTCGAACTGCTAGGTTGGCAGGAGCTGGAACTAGAGACGGGAGCTCACTCTGTCTTGCGGCACCCGGGTCTCGAACTCCTGAACTACTGACCTTCCACAGCCTGCAGTTCAGCGTCTTAACCACTTGAGCCACCGCAGCTCAAGTAAAAAGTAGTGGTTAAATACAAAGAGAAAAAGCCCACCAGTCAAGTGAAACTAGTTGCACGATTTTATTTTTTTAACTCCAGGCATACTTGTCAAATCTGCGCTACAGCTGCCAACTCCTTTACCTCCTGCTATTCTGCTTCCTATCTAAATCTGGCTTCCACCTGCATCCAACTTTGGTCAGAGGAACATGGCATTTATATATTCCAAACATCATTGCACACACAAGACGCTTGAATATCAGGCATTATTATGTCAACATTGAGGACCTATAAAATACAAGGAACACTTACCCCAATCCGGCTAAATCCGAAACAAGATTTCCCAAGGCAGCAGCTAATATCAGAGAATCACAAGCATTACATGACAAGACATTATTAAACAATATACTACATAAACAATAGGGGTTTTAAAAGTCTAACCACATGCTACCTCAAAAATATGCAAAACAAACGTTCAAGATGGCATTTCTGTAATGGGATGAAACCTGTAGTAGAATGGAACAGTGCAGGATGGCATCTTTATAACGGAAGGGTTTTGCAGTTTGCTGCAATGATTATTGTAGATATCATCTTACTTTTACTTCTACCTCTGTAATCTCACTTTCTGCATTGCTTATAGTATACTGTGCCTTAGGCAGTTTGCATTGTTTTAGAATTCTGTAATCCATGGGGTCGCGAAGAGTCGGACTCGACTGTGCGACTGAACAACAAAAGTCCTATTTCATTGTTCACTGGATATTTTACAGTGATTGATTGCATTGTTCTATATTCTGTAATCCGTCGAGTCTCAGACAGAAAGGCAGGACTAAAGTCAAACAGTTGCTATGCTGGAGCTTGAGTCAAACTCAATTTCTAGCTACCGGCGTTTTAAAACCAGTTTTATTTCTAGGGATGTATTAATCATGAAGAAAGCAATGTTGATTCCTACATTACATAAAAAATTATTACTACTAGTTTGCCTTCAACTCTACAGTCAGCTAGCGGAGCCTGTGAAAAAGGAACACTTCAGACCACAAAACTTCTTACTTCCATAATTAAAGCATTATTAGGAATAAATATTTCCTTTTAGCATCTAAATCATGTAAACTAAGAAGGAAACTTCTCCTTGATGCTTCTCATGTGTTAAACAAGCAGATAAGGAAAATTCAGACTGTTCTTTGATTAATTCAATCACTTGTAAGACTACGCTTGTATAACTTGTATATGTTTAGGGGTCCCAGATTATTCCATGATCATGTATGTATGTACCATATATACCTTTAACTGCCAAAATAAAGATTTTTACATACACACACACACTCTACTTGCCTGCCATAGTAGAAATTCCAAGGACAACTCCTATTGATAATTCTATTTGTGTGCCCTGAAAATAAAAGGAGAGTAGTTCAATACAAAAGTCTCACTGTGTGACTATAGACTAACTAGGTTACAAGAGTTCTGCTTACGTAAGAACTATAGGTTCCCCTCCCCTAGAAGCCCCAAAAGGCACCATGCAGTGTATTAACTTTGCTGCCTATCCCAAATGGTGCACTAAGGCAGAACTGAAAACAAAACCTTCACATCTGTTTATTGCCTAGTGAGTTAAAAGTAGAAACAGACCAGAACCTCATACAACCAGTAACTCTGAAACCAACAATAATGCAACTTACCGCAGCAATCATAATTGCATTATCCAAAAATCCAAACCCTACAAAAGGTACTGCATTATGGAAAAACACTAGAAGAAAAAGACAAAAGTATATTTGAAAAATGCTTTGGCAAGACATCCAATCTCCTCTAGGTATAGAATTATTCTGAGAAATCTACATGCAAAGCAGCCCTTGGGAACCTGATCCCACAAGCTAATGGGCCTAGGATATACCTGGACAGCAATTATTTGGAGAAACAACCATATAAAATGGGTGTCAGGATTGTTTTCTGTACATAGGCCAGTTTTCACAGAGTTTTCATACAATCCTGTCCCAAAAGCAACAACAACTGGTCTCCACTGGGTGCATGTGTCTTTCCTGCTCCAATTCATGGGCTCATTGTAACATATAAAGCAGTATAAGGCCTCAAACCAAAGCATTTGAAGGTCTGCTTGTGCCAACGCAGTCCTCTTCAGGCACTCATTCTTCCACTCTAATCTGTGAGAGCCGGGTCTGATTCCCCACTTCACATGCAGCTGCTGGTGTGACCTTGGGTCAGTCACAGTTCTCTTAGAGCTGTTCTCAAAAGAGCTCTCTCAGCCTCACCTACCTCACAGGGTGTCTGTTGTGTGGGGAGATGAAGGGAAAGGAGACTGTAAACCGCTCTGAGACTCCTTCAGGTAGTGAAGGGTGGGGTATAAATCCAATCTCTTATTATTATTCTTCCATCTATTCCTGCCTCCAGGGACAGATCTTTTTGGTGATCATACCTCATCTCTGTGATGCTCTCTTTGCACACCTGACACCATCACTGATTATCTTTTGGCATCAATCCAAGATTTATTTCAGATGGCTCTTATTTAATCTGGTTGGCTGCGTCCCTTGATAGTGTTCTTAGCAATAAAAGGAGCTGCCCACACATTTAGTATTTTTACAGAATAGGAATTTACCATGTTTCAGCTGCCCAGTGGATGGTGGCAAAACCTCCAACTTCTCTAGAAAAGTAAAAAAGGTAATTAAAAGCAAGATAAAAATATCTGGATTGCCAACCCACCTTATAACAACAGCATAATTTAAATCCAAGTCACCACTCCCCTCTTCTCTCGGTAAGTCTGAGATATCCTAAAACCTAATGCTGGAATCCGTAGGACTCTTGAGGGCACAAAGCCACACAACTTCGGAGGGCTGCAGTGAAGAGGATATAAAGACTGCCCCCTTCTTCCTTTTCTGCCAGCAGTTCTTCCATGGCACAAAAGGCTCCCCTTGGTGGAAAAGCAAGGTGGGGGTATTTCACCAAGGTCCCCCTCTTCCCCCCAGCCCACCAGATAATGTGGCCTTTTGTTCATGCAGATAATGTGACGTCCAGCATCAGTATTCCAGAAGTTTCAGGAACTGATGGATGAAGGGGAGGTGAGAAAGATCTGTGCTGGCCAGAGTCTTCTGCTGCTAGCACTCCCTTGGATCCAACACAACATACAGACGGACTCATAAAAAGCTTGGAAATTCTGCTTTTTCCCTTACAGTTTAGCCATTTTCATACAGTGGTTTTGGTGCTAAATTTACAAGCTGCTGCAAAAACACAAGGTTGCAGGGTGTTACTGAACTGCATTATGACACTACCCTTATCTAAGCCTTAACAAACCACTCTGTAACATAATTACACTCCCTTACACAAAAAAGATCATTAGCTATTAGATTGCTTGATCATTTGCGGCACTGAAAAACAGGTTGCTTACCTGTAACTGGTGATCTTCGAGTGGTCATCTGTGCATTCACACCCATGGGATCTAGTGCGCACGCGCTGGATCGATCGGCATTGTAGCAAGCTCTTTTAACGGATTTTCGCGCCCAGACCTTGGGCATGCGCAGGAACCCCACCACGCATGCCCAGAGGGGAGGGCGCGGACATCCCGCCAGTTCCTTCAAACCGCCGCAAATCAACCCCTATTAAAAATGTAGAAGCTGACAGCAGCGGGGAAGGAGGGCGGGTGGTGTGAATGCACAGATGACCACTCGAAGATCACCAGTTACAGATAAGCAACCTGTTTATCTTCGACGTGGTCTCTGTGCTTCACACCCATGGGAGATTAGCGAACAATGGCCTACCTGGAGGAGGGGTGCTGGCAGGTCCTTCACTGCGTAGCCGAAGATAGAATGCGACGTCCCATGTTGGTATTAGAGTTTTTGCAGACATCTAGGGTGTAGTGCCTGATAAAGGTGTTAGGCATGGGCCACGTAGCGGCTTTACAAATGTCTGTCAGGGGCACTCCCTGGAGGAAGGCAGTGGAAGCTGCAACAGCTCGAGTTGAATGGGCCCTGATCGGGCCAGGCAATGGCTGTTAGGCAATCAGGTAGCAGAGGCGGATGAGACTCGCAATCCACCTTGAGAGGCGCTGAGCCGTGATGCGAGTCCCCAGCCTTGATGGTGCGTACGAGATGAATAGTTGGGAGTACAGATGTGAAGGCCCAGAAAAAAACCGGAAAAATTCGGGGGAAAACCGTTTTTTCCCCATTCTTTTCCGGAAAAATTGAAAAAAAGAAAAGAAAAGAAAAAATTTGATTATGGAACATTTTATTTTAACATGATGAATAAAATATTTTAAGACAAGGTGTTCAAATATTTTCCAAATCATTTCTTAATGTAGCATTTTTTTCAATTTTTCCGAAAATTTCCGTTTTTCCCCGGAGAAAACTGGAAAAAACCCGAGTTTTTTTCCAAGCTTCAAGATTTCCGGAAATTTTACATCTCTAGTTGGGAGTCACGTCTCGCTGGGCGGGTTCTGTTCAGATAGAACAGGAGCGCACGCTTCACATCCAAGGTGTGTAACAATCTGTCCTCTGAGGATGTCGGAGCCGGGAAGAAATCCGGGAGGAAGACCTCTGCCTGTAGGTGGAATTCTGACACTACCTTTGGCAGGAATGAGATGTCAGGTACGAGGCGGACGCCGTCTCGCAAAAAGGACAAGTATGGCGTGTCATGCCTGAAAGCCAGTATTTCTCCAACTCGACTTGCAGAGGTGACAGCAACCAGAAAGGCCGTCTTCCACGACAGACATTTCATATCGCAAGTTGCGAGTGGCTCAAAGGGTTTCCTCGTGAGCTGGCGAAGAGCTAGAGGAAGGTCCCAGGGAACGACAGAAGTTTTGACAGGAGGGTAGAGATGCAATAAACCTTTTAAAAAACATTTTGAAAGCGGATGGGAAAACAGTGTGCATCCGTCAACTTGAACATAGTAGGCCGAAAGGGCGGCCAAATAAACACGTAATGATGAGTGGGAAAGTCCTGAGTCAGCGAGGGATAGGTGGAATTGGAAAACTCTCTCAAGACCTGCGGAGGTGGCTCGAGGGGCATCATTACCAAGGGAAGGGAAGAGCAGACCTGCGGAGGTGGCTCGAGGGGCATCATTACCAAGGGAAGGGAAGAGCAGAACCTTTGCCTTCTTTTTTTTTTTAGGTTTTCTGGCGTTCAGTAGAACGTTTGCTACGCGGGTGGAAAAACCGTTAACGTTATTCTCCACGCTGTCAATTTCAAGCGTGGTATGTCGTGATGTAGAAGAGGGGAGTCGGACAGGAAGAGGAGGTCCTGTGCCGGAGGGAATTGGTGGTATATTCCTGTTGATAATTCGAGGATGGTCGAAAACAGGTAGGTTGGGTTCATTTCCCATTCATGGAGACTGAGCCATGCTCGGCTTAGATGGTCTGCCTGCACATTCATGTGTCCTGGGATGTGCGAGGCTATCAAGAAGACATCGTGGGTGATGCAAAGGTCCCATAACTGGATGGCAAGGTTGCAGAGACATAGGGAGACCGTGCCTCCTTGTTTGTTGATATAACTGAGTGCAGTGGTGTTGTCCGTGAGGACCATAACACATTTCCCCTTGACCATTGGTAGGAAACTCATGATAGCAAACTGTATTGTCAGCAGTTCCAGGAAGTTTATGTGCTGACCTTGCACGTGGGTATCCCACTTGCCTCCGACACAGGGATGCATCCGTGGTCAGGGTTATTTGGGGTGATGGATGATGGAAGGGTGCTCCCCGGAGGAGATTGGAAGAGACAGTCCACCAAAGTAAAGCGTCTCGTATGCTGGGAAGAGGGGATAGGAGGACAGTGTGTGCATTTTTCAACAGGTCATACTTGCAGATAAACCAGAGCTGTAAAGGACGCATTTTCAGTCTGGCAAAGATGAAAACCGACGTAGTTGCAGCCATAAGGCCGAGCAGCCTCTGAATTTGGAAGGCAGTGACAGAAGGCTGCGTACGGACAACGGTGGCTAAAGAAATGATGTCTGCCGCCCTGTCGTGAGGCAGGTAAGCCATGCATGTTTTGGAATCCAGTATAGCGCCGATGTACTTTATCCTCTGGACTGGATGCAATTGAGACTTTTGTCGATTGATCTGTACGCCCCGATTCTCCAATAGTGCCAGAGTCTCTGTGATGTTCGAGATCAGGGCGTTCTTGGAAGGTGCTACCAGAAGCCAATCGTATAGGGGTAGATGGAGTGGACCATTCTTTTGACCAAATCTGTGTATGACGTAAGGTTGTTGGATGGGGATCAATGTTCCCTCTAAGCTGTGGAGTCTTGTGAGCAAAAATTCTACTTTGTGAGCTACTAGCATTAAAGTTGTGAGCGAGCAATTTGGCTGCTGCAAAATTAGTTTCCTCTGGAGCCACCCTTCCTGAGCTGAGACAAAAATGTGTGAGCCAGATGCTAAAAAACTGTGAGCTAGCTCACACTAACTCAGCTTAGAGGGAACAGTGATGGGGATACAGGTAGGTCTTCAGCGACATCCTGGTTGGGGGATTTATGGTCAGGAGAGGTATGAGCCTCAGATGCCTCCGTGTCAGAGTCCTCTTCTATGAAGTCTGAGGAGTCTTGTTGTGGTATTTGGACCGAAGTGTCCTGTTGACAAGTTATGGGTTTTGTTGGGACGACAGGGTTTGGGGTGACCGGAGGGTTGATAGGACGACCTGGTTCTAGAGTATGATGATCGTCTGGAGGAGGATGTGACAGAGATGCCAAAGGTCTCGATTTGTGGGGCGACCTCGACCTATGAACAGAGTGGGACGAATAGCGATCCCAATCAGAATAGCCCACCGGAGTCAACCACGGCATGGATGGTGGATAAGCCCTGTACAGGTACCTCAACTGTCACTGATCCCAAGGTATTGGTGGGGGGGGGCAGGAAGACTCTGGGGGATCAACTTCTGGACCGTGGACGTCTGGGAGACAAAGCAGTAGCCTGTCTATGAGAACCGTCCCTGTAGTCTCGGTTGTCGATATCGACAGATTGACTGCGCAGACGTGGAGGGTGACACTGCGTGTCACATGTAGTGTATTGGTGCTGACGTGGATCTATGTCGGGAACTTCCGATACCATCGATGTCGACAACGGGGAAGGCTCTGCATCCATTTGATGACTTAGGAGCTCTACCGTTCCGATGTCGGAATAAGGACGCTCCATTTCGTGGGCAGGGGAGTCCAAGACATGGATGGTCGGTATCGGGACTTGGGCCTCCGATATCGATACTGCCGCTGGAGCGGGAGGCACTTTAAGGGCATCACCCAGTGCAGACACTGCTTCCTTCCCCTTCTTCGCCGCCTTAAGGGACTTGGAGGTGCCCTTCTTCGCGGATTTGTGATCTTTACTTGCCTTAGCCTTTTTTTTGACTGGCGTGGAAGCGGACGATTGTGCCTTCGATGTCAGGAGCTTCGGCGTCGGACAGTCGACATCGGAGGCAGGCCTCGATGCCGGAGCGGTCGATGTAGACGGTCTCTCCTCCATCACTGAGGCAGGAGCAAGGGCCGATTCAAGCAGCGCCACTTTAAGGCGCGCAGCACGGTTTTTTCGTGTTTGATTGGAAAAACGCGCACAGTGACGACAGGACTCTGGCTGGTGAGACTCTCCGAGGCAAAAAATGCAGAGGGTATGACGGTCAGGAGGAGTAAGTTTGCTGCCGCAACCCTTGCACCTGTTGAAAAAACCCCACTTCTT